AGAAATAGAGATTCCACGGAATTATGACCACCGTGGATAATAGTACGTCTACAGTAAGTATCCAAGCATGTACTCTAGCTGCATGTTTGGTTTTGATGCACTAGTTTTAAAGGCACAAACATATCTAATGCCTTAATATTAAAAACAAACCTTTGAAATCATAGGAACACAGCATATATCTGAGAGCGTCTGTCCCACAAGCTGGGATTCCGTTGGGGAAGTCTTTTCTCTGACCCTCTTTGGCTGTCTGTACTTCCTGGGGGGACAAATTTCCATCTTCTACCTTCTTGTGTAACTCCTCAAGTGTGATACCAGAAATAACATCTATTGGATCAATGACATTGCCCAGGGATTTACTCATTTTCCGGCCATGAGCATCTCTCAGCAGCCCATGGAGTAATATCTGTAAATAGGGAAAGTTTCTTTAGATACAGCTTACATTTATACATTTCAGTAATAAATAATGTCAACACACTCTACAAATAAAACATAATTTATATAATGAAGTGATATATTTATATGTAAACCTTTGGAAATGGCAGTTGATTGGTCAATTTCAGCCCAAGCATCACCATTCTGGCAACCCAGAAAAACAGAATGTCACTTCCTGTTTCCATGAGGCTTATGGGATAGTATTTCTCCAAATCCATCGTCTATCAATAAAAGAAATATACATTTATTATATACCTAACGTGTATCACTCAATTTTACTGTAGAATTAACGGAATCACGTGACGTCGTGATCCGACTTTCCGGATCACCACACTGTGGTTTTTTGAATCCATATCACCACTCTCTGAAACTGATGACGTAGTATGCAAAAACATGACGTTATTTTTCTTGCACGTTAAAAAGTCCATTGTTATTATGCTTTGTTTATGGATAAATATTATACAATTGATCTCTAAAGTTTTATTTTTCTATATTTAGCTAGTTATAAGGGGGTATATAATAAATTTATCATGATAACAGTAACTTGATCCGAAGAGCCGTATCACGTCTCGTTGACAGGCGCGGATCATCAGATCAAACTCAAAGCTTCGCGTCTCATTAGATCTGATGATCCGCGCCTGTCAACTCAACGTGATACGACCCTTCGGATCAAGTTACTGTTATAATGATATATATGTATCTTCTTTAAACCTAGTGTATTGTCAAAATTATTTCAGCTGTATTTTATATAGGGTAGAATTTACTTCCAGTTTACATTAAATTAATTCAAGAAAGAGTTTAAACATATGTAACATTCCATAAAACCATGAATAAATGCATTTACATACATGTACATGTAGTACATTAATATGTAATATAAATGCATCAGTGAAATTTACACAGATAACTCTTTCTATATGGTAAAGTTTCAGGTTATGAAAAAAATAATGTCAGCTTTCTTTTAAGATATTAACTTCAAATAACAAAGCAGACCTGATTTGGCCATCCGAGGGGTGAGAATGGAAACAAGGCAGAGGAAAACCATGTATCCAAGACATCTTCATCTGGTGAAAAATTGTTTTGTACATGTAAAAATCACAAGGAAATCACATATGATACTATTCTAGTAATTACTAGTAACTCAGATTGTTTTGTGTGGGACAAACTTTTGCTATACTTGCAGGGAAAGGAAATTTTATAAATGTCATGTACCTTGATTTATCACTATATCCTCTTCTTTAGAGTTCAGTGTTTGAGCTGCTTTTGTCAATGCCTCTTGAGGTGTCTTAGCTACCACCCATATGATCTTTTTACAACCCTAAAGTGTTTAAACATGACACCTGTTCATTATTTATATATTAATGACTTACATGTAAGTAATTTTCAAAAGTGTGCTTTGCATATTTTTCCTTTTACCATTAAGTTACAAAATATCAAAGAATTTCTATGCAATTTTTGGAGTAATTTTTTTTTTCAAAAGAAAAGATAAGCTACACAGAAAGTTAAATATATGTAGCCAGGACTGATTTCTAACCTCATTTTTATTGTATGCTTGATAAGCTGGTATTCTGTGTCCCCACCATAGCTGTCTAGAAATACACCACTCCCTACGATTAAAAGTCTCTGGTTAACATTCATCTTTGTACAGTGTAATGGGTCTATAGGAATCTTATTTTGTGCTACAAATATTTTGCAACCATAATTAATTTTGCTGTCAAATTTTACAAAAACGTCAAAGTGTTTTTTTTTTTAATTTGACCACAAAAATGTAGATATTGAACGAAAAAAGTGTACACATTGCCAACAAGTTTCACAGTCAACCTAAACCACTTACTGTGAATCCTTGAGCCAATTAAACCAAACTTTTTCATGGTATTCTGGTACAAAACTAAGCTTCTTAGATTTCACTGCCTGCAATAAAAATATAAATGAATTTCAACAAAATCAAAATACATACCGGTTCATGTAATACAGATGTTCATATAAGTTAAAACAAACCAGAAAATTGTAGCAGATACTTTTATATTCATTTGATACCCCTGTGAAAACTGTAACAGATATGTACATTGCATTGACTCTTCCAAGTACAACTGATGCCATGTGAAATCTGTACTACTCTAGATATTTACATGGATGCCATGTGAAATATATGAGATGCCTATATTGACAGCCTTGTGAAAATGTACTAGACATTTACATTGATAGCTATGTGTAATCTATGGTACTGGATACTTACATTGATGCCATATGAAATATATACCAGACATTTACATTGCATTGATAGCTACATAAAATCTGTTTCAAAAACTTACATTGATAGCCATGGCAGACATTTCCTCCATTTTGACAAACCACTGTTCCATGGCCAATGGTTCTATCACATCCTTAGTGCGACTAAATGTGCCAAGAAATTAAACATAAATTTCAAACAAGATGCAAATCTTTATAAATCAAATAACAAATGCAAAATGATACTTCAGTAACCACTGCAAAAATTAATATATTGATTTAATGAAAACCTATACCCAAAATTGTCCTCAAGCATACATATGTATGTGATTTTGATATACATGTATACAAATTCATGCTTTGGGATCATACTTTTTTACTTCAATTCATATTTATAGTCACTATGTAATAAGCCCCTGTACTTACCTACATATAGGTATTGTCATGGCATGACTCTTTGTGCCTCGGTATAAATTCAGTCTCTTTAGATCTTCCACCACTAACTTTCTGGCATCAAATCTTTTTACCCCAGCGTACGTGTCCCCCACATTCTCCATGACACCAGACCTACTGATGACCGATTTAGAGGGTAGTCCATGTCGCTGTCCAATCTCGTGGTCATTCTTATCATGGGCAGGAGTGATTTTCACAGCACCTAACCAAAGTTGAAAAATTATTTCTATTAAATTAAAGACCAATTTAATGCAACAGTCACAGTGCATTTTTCTTACTTCATAAAAACATTAAATTCATACAGATAATGAAATACAGTATAAAGAAATATCATACAAACTGGTCTTGTGTTGCTTTAAGTGATTAAAATCAAGTTTTCTTTTAAAGTACTTTCTTGAATAAATTTACCTGTTCCGAATTCCATGTCAACAAAATCATCACAAACAATTGGAAGCTGCCTTTCATCAATGGGGTGTTGTACAGAACAGCCATGTAAATGCTGATACCGAGAATCCAGGGGGTGTACAGCAACAGCCGTGTCTCCCAGCATTGTCTCTGGTCGAGTAGTTGACACAACAATTTCTTCATCTGATAAAAAAATCTTGGAGAATTTTTAATGGTACAAGCAGTATATTTTACTATAATTTTAGTAAAGTCTTGTGATTTTTTGGTTGAATTTCCCTTAAAGTGCACTGGTAGCTGAAAGTCCTGCCATTTGTACTTTGTAGAATTTCAAATTCAAGAGAAATACCGGTAATAAAAATTTTAATATGTTCATCAAATAATAAGTAAGAAAGCAAAATAAATACTTTTTCATTTTAAAATGAACAAGCAAAGTTGTCCTCTTTTAAATGTATTTTAAAATGTTAACTCTTTGGAAATCTTGCCTTCCAGCATAAATTTGTTCTTATCTGCATTTTCTCAAATACATGTTGTTTTTTTCTCATAAAATAGGAGGTTGTGGGGTTGAAAAATAACAAACTATTTTTGAAAAAGAAAAAAAGTGTACATATTCATGAAAGTACTGGGTACATGTATATCAATAATCTACCTTTTCCCACCAAAGGATATGCAAATGAGGTCAAAGTACCAAATTCCACTTTATCTTGATATCCAGGAATGTTTAGATGTTCTCGCTTTGTGAGGGATATGTTTTCAACCTATCAAAAAATTAAATCAAATCTTTTGTACAGATCTTCTGTAACTTTCAACAACTAAGCAGATAGATATGTTCTTGATATTTGAAATCAAACAAGCAAAATGTCTTATTCAGTGATAAACTGATATCTGTAATATTTTTGTAAAAATGTAGCATCCACAAGTCATTTTTTATATTTGATATTTACCAAATGTCTTATATACTGTCTTAAAGCATATGGAGAGTAGAAAAAGAAAATATAACATTTTGGTTTTCTAGTCATAAGTTGTTACTAAAAATAGACTACTAAAAAGTAGTGCTTGCACTTTTTTGTGTGACCATTTTGTTTTTCAAAGTAGATGGTTTTGAATGAACAGCAAATACTTTGCAAAATTAGATCCTAAATCAAAATAATATGTTTGTTTGTAAAAGACACTTTAATATGACAAATTTAATTATTTTATTGATCGTTTCACTTCCTCTACCACAATGCATCACAAGTAAAAATGCGTATTATTGCGCCAACGTTAACACTTACAAAAATGACGTCAACATTTTTAACTCTAAAAAGGATTAGGATGAAGGGAAAAATAAATTATCAAATAAATGCACTTTAGCTGAATTCTTTTTTGTGTGTGCAATAGAAGTTTAAAACATAATTCTTAAATCTATGACAATTTCTCTGTACTCTTGCATGTAATGTTTAAAAGTACATGTTTTAAACGTATGGTATCTACTGGTAATTTCCGGCAATTTACAGTTATAAAAGCAGTTGAAATACAAAAGATTTATCTTTTCCTGTAATAGCGTTTAGATTATATAAAAACAATCAAATAGATTATATAAAAACAATCAAATAACAGAGGCAATCAATGTAAAAAAAATGTAGTAATTTGATTTTCATGGTTAATTTAAACAGATTTCAGAACTTTTAATAGATTTGACAAAAGTTCCTTATGTGTCAATGTTTGTCTTTTTCCATCATGACTCTTTCTAGAAAATGAGAACAGTTTTTGTTCAAGAACATTCTGCTTTAAAACATTTTTACGGTACCGGAGCTGGGCTTTCAAAGCATTGACTTTGTCTGATGTGCGTACATACTCCTTTATTCTCAATTTACACTCGCGGGCTGATTTCCATAAACCATAGAAAATAATGTCATCACTCTGTTTTTCCAGTTGCACTTGTTTTCTTCTCTTTTTTTCAGCTCTTTTTCGGAACTCTTCTTCTTGTTTCTCCTCTCTCTGTCGTTGAATTTCTCCTTTTCTTTTTGAGAATAAATCTCTTTCAGTAGAAACGGATTTTCTAGCTTCCGAAATAAGGTCTTCCATATCCTCTTTGTTTCTTATTATCCACGTGGATGTCTTGTTCATTAGGAAAAGTGTGTAAGCCTCAAGAGCTAGAGCTGATATATTAGGTTTAGCTCTTAAAATTTGGTCCATGTACGCGAACAGTCGCTCGGAATAAGAATTATGTTTGTCCACACTCTTGGTAGCCAGTGAGAGCTCCTCAGTAAAAGTTTCATATTTACCATCTGGCAAGTGGTCTTTATAGACATGCAGTACTACTTTCCGGATCGCTGGTAACAGGACACGTAGAATGATTTCCACATCAGTATCATAATTAGACTCTTTGGTCAGGAATTCAAAAACTCTGTCGCCATTAAAGTCTATTCCTGTTAAAGCTGGAAAGGTTCCCTTTATAAAATCAGCTAGATTTTCAGTTACATCCGCCAAATAAGTTGATAGATGGAGATAATTTTGTGTCATGTCTTCAATTGATGTATCCTTGTTCTCGAGAATATTCCAAAGGGGTGTTGTAATCATCTTTGAAATCAATCCCAGGGCTTTCAGTCCGGCAACATAAAAAGAAACTTTAAGATCTGAGAGAACAGACTTCAGAAGTCTTTTATTTTCAATATCTGATTTCTCCAGAAATTCAGTCATGTGAGGATTTAGAAAGTATAGGCATGCAGCATTTTGAAATAAAATGTTGAATCTGTGGCCCTTAAATGGTTGCAGAGGAAGTGAGATCATTCTGTTTTCAGTAAGAAATGGCTGCATGTATGTTCGGAAGGCCCCATAACACCCACACTTTTCATCACCTCTTCTTGCAAAAGCCTTGCATGCACTTCTTATTAAGCGAAAACAACCTGATTCATCAATTTTAGAGAAATTCTCATCAAAAATTGGTGGGTTTCCATCGAAATTCCCCTTTTCTGCTTCACATAATCCCTTCTGGGCCGCATTCGCCATATATACCAGGCCATGAACACCGCAGAAGAAATTGTTCAGTCTGCTAACTGTTTCTTTTTCAACATCATCCAATGCGTGGTAATCTTCCCGTATCTGTGGTTGCAGCTCTTCTCTGTAACTTTCTAATAGCTCATTAAACTTTAATTCTGTAGCGGCACGATCACTCATCGTATTTTGGATATTGCAGATAACTTTGTTTCCAATATTCTTCTGGGTTTCCTCGTTGTTGTCAGAAATATCCTGTAAAATTTCTTTAAATGTGTCCAGTGTGTTTTGTGCTGATTTTGTGGCCATTTCACGAAGTCCTAATGCAAAATAATTACCTTCTTCATCACGAACAGAAAACCCACCATATTTAATGCCAAACTTCGATGTCTCATCAGTGTGCAAGGTGGTGTTGATTTTTTCTGACAGTTCTTCTTGTAGTTGTTTTTTGGCTAGACAGAGTCGTTGGATATTCATATTAACAACTGTCGATGGGGATGGTAGTCGGTCAGGTTCTTTTCCTGCTAACTTCAAACAGGTTTCTATGGTTGGTCCTAAATCAAAATATGAACGTTTATTTAAAATGTACATTTACTTTATGTAGGTGAATACATCAAGTAAACAACTCAAAATTAAAAAAAAAAAAAAAAAAAAACTTACCAATTTTAGTTGATGGGACATTGTGTTCGAGAAGAGAGTACACACACAAATGAAGTTCTGGAGTGAATGCTTTCTCTTTCTTGTCAAATAGATTGATGACTTTGTTGTCAGTCAAATCATGCAGCTGCTCCACAAGATAGGAGATTTCATCATCCTTTTCCTTAAGGGTATGCTGAAGATCATTGACAGTGATTCTGAGTTGGTCATTTTCAGCTTGTAGCTCATTTAGAAGTGCTTGGTAGTCTTCTTTAGATGTGTCATCTGATGTTTCCAATTTTGTACACTTAGTTTTCCAGTAGTCCTCTCTCCGTTTAGTGCGTTTGACAGTTTGATTTGATGATTTCAGTTTCTCATGTAGCACTCTATTTTGCTTTATTACATCTTCTGATTTAATGTTAAGTGTCTGCATGTGAGATATTGTTTCAGTCAATTCAGACTTTAGTGCTATTTTCTCCTTAGTCAGATTCTGGTTTTCCATGAACACTGAGTTTGAAATGGACATTGCAGTAGAAAAGGCATCACCGCTAGAACTGATCAGATATGTAGCTTCGGGCATTTTGGGAGTCACTGTATTTGATACTTTAGGTGGAGCAAATTCTGTTTCTAGGAACTCTGTAAGCTTTCTGCTACCTTCAGATTTAGATTTGTTTTTTCTGAATTTTTCATATTCTGACCACAGTCGCCTAATAACCACTCTAATTGATGTCGGATTAAAGTTATCAGAATGTGACACAATCCATTGGGCAGTTTCGGATACGCCATGTGCTCTTTTAAAGTTAATGACATCAGAATTTAAAATCCTGGGAGTAGTGCAGGACATCTTATGGTCAGCTTGTTGAATAATAATAGCGATGAGACAAATTTTCCACCAAGTTCTAAAAAATATTCACATTATTTTTAGGGATTTCAAAATATTTATTTTTCTTAGCAGAATTTCGATTGCATTATTCGAAGGATAGTCGAGTATTCAGACCATTTTTTTTATTTAAATCTCATCGATAGCGTATTTATAAATCAAAAACCCTTTTCGTAAATTTATGTAAAAAATGACATCAAATGCCTATACTAAATAATTTTTACTTTAAAATGTATCTTCTTCCGTATTTATAGTTTTTACAACAACTATATTTACCAAGACCTCCACAGCATAACCCCTCCTCCCCCCCCCCCCCAAAAAAAATTGTTTGGTGCACTTTAAACGACCAGTCTAAAGTGCCCTCTCCCAATATTTTTTTTTAATACTCCAATTTTTAAAAAAGGATATTTATGTATTTTTTTTCAAATATTTTTTATAATAAGATGTGTATGTAGTATTTACTTTATTTCTCTAATTAACAAAAATGACATTAGAATTTTAAGGATTTCTTCAAAGTGCTAAGACGACTTTCATGTTCCTGCTCATATTCTTCAGTTATTATTTTTAGGAATCCAAAAATACATTCAATGAACCACTGTTAACATTTTTTTTTTTTTGCAAGAAAGAAAAGGTGAAATAACTTTCATAATTTATTAATGGTGAGTTTTTTTTTTCCTTTTGAAAAGTTCCACTTCCATGAGTACATTGTACCTTAATTTGTCTTGGCATTATAAGCTACTTGAACTCTGAAATATTAAATATTTCATTTAACTGCGTATTTATTATTTATTTGAACATGTTTAAAATTTACCTGTTAACTCTCTTTTTTCAATAGTGCATAAGTCAGTGTAATTTTACTAATTCATCTAATCAAACCACGTACCATTTTTTTTTTATCATCTTCCTTTTTGTTGAATTTATGATTTAAATTATTTTTTCTTTCTGTTTTAAAATATTTTTTATAAAATCATTAAAGCATTTTATCTTTTAAATTCCTATGTCAAAAAACTTCTGGTAATACACTCTGGTAATACACTCTATTATTGTATTTGCTTGATACAAAATCATTGAAGAGGCGACAATATCAGTTAAAAGAATTTAATACGGCATAATTTAATAATAATTTTAAAAAAAAATTCCCCATGGGGCACCCCATATTCAAGCTATGAAGAGTTGTTCCCCGTAAGATATCCATGGATACTGTAAACAAACACAGTAGGCCTAACCCAAGCTAGCGATTTCGTCAGTTTCGTTGACGGCGTCAATTTCTTTAATGAATTTTAAAACATGTGTGGGGTTATTCTAAAAGCGCTCCTTAGCGCGGGGGTTTATTAAGATACCATGCATATTAATTTGAAGAGGATTAAATTCTGAATCGATCTAATGTTGTTACACATATGCAACCTGTTCTAGAATAGGGTGAAAATTTTGTCTAAAAACTACTTACTTTATGCAGTCTTCTATCATGGTAATATTTGCATCTGTAATGGGTTATTTGGTATCATTTTGTTCTGTAACTTCACCAGCGTCTGTTTTTATAAAAGAAAAGTCTCACGCACCTTTGTTGTCCTGGAAACAGCGGAATGAAAAAGCGCGACAATTACTACCTACTATATTTCAGGTGTAAGTTTTGCATTCAAAAGCATTTTTCATTTGATGTAAATATAATTATAAGAGAGGTTAATAAATATAATAAAATATATTTAACAAAGTTTAATAATTTTTTTCATATCTTTATTCTTGAAATAATCATTGAGAGCGGAAAAACAGTAAAACTTGGGGTTTGAAAAAGCATTGTTTTGGTAAGAGTCACATAGCGTTACGTAATGACGTGACTTGACTTGTGGATGCTAAAAAATGTGATATCATTGTCTGTAAATAAATTATCTCAATATCTGATAGACTTAAGATGACTTACCTCAATATCCTATATCAAGGACTTAAGATGACTTACCCTAATATCTGATATCACATATTGAAGTTGACTTAATTCTATATCTGATATCACTTATTGTTGTTGACTTACCTCAATATCTGATATCACAGACTGTAGTTGACTTAACTCAATATCTGATATCACAGAGTGTAGTTGACTAACCTCTATATCTGATATCACAGATTGTAGATGCTTTACCTCTCTATCTGATACCACTTATTGTTGTTGACTTAATTCAATATCTGATATCACAGACTGTAGTTGACTTACCTCAATATCTGATATCACAGACTGTAGTTGATATACCTCAATATCTGATATCACTGTATGTAGTTGACTTACCTCTATATCTGATATCACAGACTGTAGTTGACATACCTTTATATCTGATATCACAGTATGTAGTTGACATACTTCTATATCTGATATCACAGATAGTAGTTGACTTAATTCAATATCTGATATCTCAGATTGTAGATGCTTTACCTCTCTATCTGATACCACTTATTGTTGTTGACTTAATTCAATATCTGATATCACAGACTGTAGTTGACTTACCTCAATATCTGATATCACAGACTGTAGCTGATATACCTCAATATCTGATATCACAGTATGTAGTTGACTTACCTCTATATCTGATATCACAGACTGTAGTTGACATACCTCTATATCTGATATCACAGTATGTAGTTGACATACTTCTATATCTGATATCACAGATAGTAGTTGACTTAATTCAATATCTGATATCACAGATTGTAGTTGACATACCTCTATATTTGATATCACAGACTGTAGTTGACTTACCTCAGTATCTGATAGCACAGGTCATGATTGACTTAACTCAATATCTGATATCACAGATGTAGTTGACATACCTCTATATTTGATATCACAGACTGTAGTTGACTTACCTCAGTATCTGATAGCACAGGTCATGATTGACTTAACTCAATATCTGATATCACAGACTGTAGCTGATATACCTCAATATCTGATATCACAGTATGTAGTTGACTTACCTCTATATCTGATATCACAGACTGTAGTTGACTTACCTCAATATCTGATATCACAGATTGTAGATGCTTTACCTCTCTATCTGATATCACTTATTGTTGTTGACTTAATTCAATATCTGATATCACAGACTGTAGTTGACTTACCTCAATATCTGATATCACAGACTGTAGTTGACTTACCTCTATATCTGATATCACAGACTGTAGTTGACATACCTCTATATTTGATATCACAGACTGTAGTTGACTTACCTCAATATCTGATATCACAGATGTAGTTGACATACTTCTATATTTGATATCACAGACTGTAGTTGACTTACTTCAATATCTGATAGCACAGGTCATGATTGACTTAACTCAATATCTGATATCACAGACTGTAGTTGACTTACCTCTATATCTGATATCACAGACTGTAGTTGACTAACCTCGATATTTGATATCACAGACTGTAGTTGACTTACCTCAATATCTGATATCACAGACTGTAGTTGACTTACCTCGATATCTGATAACACAGACTATAGTTGACTTACCTCGATATCTGATATCACAGACTGTAGTTGACATGACCAGTTGACCATTCTGTTTTTCCTGTGGATCTGACCCTCATCATACAGCCTGACAAAGGCTTCAGTTACAGCCTCAGACAATTCCTTGGGAATATATCAGTTAATGACAATTATAATTTACTGTAAAGTATATTGATTCATTTTCAGTTGAAAATGCTCATTGTAATATTGAAGTTAAATGAATTCCTTTAAAAAAAAATACCTTGTCAAGAGTGAAACAAGCTCTGCTCCAATCCAAGGAAGATCCCAGTTTCTTCATTTGATCATATATAGTTTCTCCCTTGCTATGAATAATGCAAAACTAACACGGCTTTATGGATTGAAATATTTATGGATAGACATTATATATTACAAACTGTAAAGTTAACTACCCAGTCACCATTAGAGTTAAAAATCAGTCCAATAGTTTTCTGAATACAGTGAATTCAAAATATAAATACGTATATGTATAATGATGACTTTATTGTCACATAAAGACTGTTAACTTGCCATTATGTGTTTAAGAAAATTTATTTTTGTAGATTGACCCCAAAATCAACATGATTTTCTGATAGATACACACCTTTGCTTCCAGTTCCACACCTCCTGGACAAAAGCGTACCGACCAATGTCGTGTCTTGTCATCCTTCTCTCCTTCCACAGTCTCTTCTCCACCACCACCTGGGTGGCAATTCCAGCGTGATCACATCCCGGGATCCACAGGGTTTCATAACCTTTCATTCTATGCCTGAAACATACATGAAGGTTAAATTCACATAAAAGGAAAAAAAAACTTTAAAAAGATTTGCATGTGTGTGGAAACAGAAGTGAGTAAGAATAAAAGTAAATTGAGGGATAGAATAAGAAACTTCTCTTTCAATCATATTTCCAGAAATGCTCCCCAGACTATATAAAATTACCATCTAACAAGGGCATCTTGGATAGTATTTGTGATTGCATGTCCAAGATGTAAGGTTCCTGTCACGTTTGGGGGAGGAAGACACATAACAAATTTTTCTCTTGGGGTTCCTCCTTCACTCCCGTATTCTGGTGTAAAATATCCCTGGGCCACCCACCAATCATACCAGGCTGCCTCCACAAACTCTGGACTGTAACTTCTGGGTAAGGGACAGGAGACATCTACAAACAAAAAGCTCTGACTCAGAGAATATTCCTCACATTTAGCAGTATGCCCATGTAATTTCATTAAGAACTTATTCCTGTGATACCAGCATATTTCTGTGATACCAGCAGATCTGGGGTCAATTACTTTGAAATTTAATGCATTACATTACAATTACTTTGGGATTTTTATCATTACAATTACAATGACCATTACTCTCATTCAAAACAGTAATTAATTAAATTACGATTACTTTGTTAAAGTAATGAATTACATTACACATTACATTTTATGAGAGAAACACACAAAACGTATGACCACACAATTTATACCTATATTATTAGTTACACAGTCAGTTAGTGACCTAATACGGATTTATACAGGGTGTGAAATGGAAATCCGTATTGGGTGAGGCGAAGCCGAGTCCCAATACGGATTTTCATTTCACACCCTGTATGAATC